AAAAAAAAAAAGAGGGAGGAAGGAAAGGTAAGTAAGGATAAACAAGTGAGAACAGAGAGAAGCTACATAAAGAGGTAAGGAAAGGGACGCACACGGAATAGAATAGGGTAAAAAGGAGAAGATAGGGTCCCCCCCCCCACACACACACATTGCACTTTTACTGCCGTGGGGCTCCTGTGTTCATGGCGTGGAGTCGCGAGGGACTAGCCTCGCCCTCGCCCCACCACCTTGTGTGTGCGTGCAGAGGTTTAGTGCAGAGGTTTACTTACGTGAGACCTTACCTCAGGACGGCAACTTGCTCAACTGGGCGCTGGCGCACGACATGGAGTACTACATGCGACGCCTCGCCGAGCTCGGCGGGCCGACGGCCTCGCTGGAGGAGGGCGTCACCTTCTCGGCGTGACGCGTGAGGCCTGCCTCGTCTTGTTTTGGGGAGGGGAGGGGGGGGGGGGGGGGTTGTTGAGTCCCTCGTGTCCATGCTGTGTGAGCATACCATGAGATGTCAGATGAGGCGGGGTGGGACCCGTCGAGTGTGATATGTCATATGTGTCAGGCCGCCCTGGCTTGTCGCTCGGAGGCTCTCAGGCTGAGGTGTCGCGTTGTCCCCGCGCGCGCGTCTTTTTCATGCACATGCTGTCTAGATACAAAATAGCACAGCTCAGTCACCAGAGGTCCCACTAGCAGCTTTCGACGGAACACCGACGGACGCACCGTGCGGGCCGCGGGCGGCGCGGGAGCCAGGCCTAGGGCAGCCAGAACCGGCCGTTGTTCTGTGTTGCTGTCGGCCACGGCGGGTGTACACAGCATCACAAACGCCGACTCGCTGAGGAAGTGTAAACTCCCTCGCAAGCCGTACGCCAGGTCAAGGCCGTTCGCTGTCGTTTGCTGCAGCGTGCAGGCAGCACGTCACTGGCTGTAGCCGCTATTAGCACCGAGTAGGATGTTGCCCGCAAACAGGATCCAGGCGGCCGCGCCGGCCACTACCGTCGGGCTGATGCCGAAATCGTTGATCGTCTGGCCACCAGTCGTGATGAAGCGGACAAACCCACCGAAACCGCCCTCCGGCTGCTCCTCCTTCTTCGCCTTCTTGACGGGGTTTTTCGATGACTGGCCCTGCGCGCCGAACAGCATCGCTGTGGCCGGCGCTCGCGACACGGCGACGGCAGGCGTGGTACCGACAGGCAAGCGGAGCGCCGAAGAGCCAGCGAGCATGAGCAACAGCAACGACGAGGTCGCCATCGTTGCGTTGTTTCGGAAACGGAGCGGCAAATTCGCGGACGGAAAATTCCGGAAATAAAAAGGTCGGGCGTATCTCGGGCGCACCTAGTGGCCGAAGAGATTAAAATCCCTGTGTGGTGGCGGCGTGCCGTTCTCCCATCCCTCCCTTGCGTTGTCTGTTTTCTTTCTTTCTTTTTCTGGCCGAAGAGAGAGTGGACCTGAGCAACGATATGACTTGGCGGCAAATGATCGGAGTGGGCGTCAGGAGAGTCGTCCTTGCGCGAGGAGAGCTCGATGAACTCGAGGGACCAAAATATGCCGCGAGGAGGGCAGAGCTGCGACGAAAGGCGAGAGACGCAGCGAGAACAAGGGAGCGGGAGGCGGCGGCGTCGTCGCAGAACGAGGCAGAGGAGAGCGAAGCGACAGAGGAAGAATTTTACAACAAAACTCCTTGCGCCTGCGGGCGGACCCTCACAGATCACAGATCACAGATCACAAAACTCCCTCGAGGAAGAATCGACAAGAGAGAGAACGACGAGAGTGGGACGCCAACAACCCAACCCAACCCAAAAAGCACGATTCTCAAGTTGGGCCCTCGGGCTACTAGCCCCTCGGAGGGTATTGAAATGTAGTCAAATGCAGCCCAGCCGCCGCCTCGACGCCGCCGCCCGCGCGCCCGTGCACGCTTTTCTCTACAACTGCTCAACTGGCCATCCGAATTGCGTGATCCGTGAAATACTCGTAGGGAGAATGCGTGGGAATCAGGGAGAATGCGGGATAATGAATCAATCATCGTAAACTCGTACGTACGTCCTCCCCGTCTTTCCGGCGTCGCAAGCCATGGCCTCCGCGCCCACGCCATGCGGCCAAAACCGCACCTCCCTGCACATGCGCATACGCCACCCTACGCCCACTGCCCCAACTCTACCCCCACTTGGTGTGGATCGTGCGCGCGCCCTGCGGGGGGCGCCTTGTGTCCGGCCCGTTCTGCGCGCCCTGCTCTCAGATGTCTGCGCGCCCCGCAGGCACCCATGATTGAGACGAAGACAGTTCTCGTCGTCACCGCCGCGTTTGGTGCGCACAACCGGACCGCGCCATCCATTCGGCCCTGTTCCCACCGCATGCCCCTTACACAGTTAGAATGCCGTTGCAGGCGGGGCGTTCTTCGGCACCCTGGCCACGCATGCGCTGGCCCCGGCGCCAGCGCTCAAGGCGTCGTTCGTCGCGGCTGAAAAGTCGGAGGCGCTTTTCAACGCAATGACCGCAGCAATTAAGGCGGACGGCGCTAAAATGGTAGAGTTGGGCGGTGGTGTCTTTCAGTTCGTCGTCTCCGACGGCGGTCCAAATGGCAAATTTATCCTCGACCTCAAGAACGGCAACGGAGCAGCAACGTACGGAGAAGACCCGCACGCAGATTGCACGCTGACGATGGCAGCTGCCGACTGGGTGGCCCTGGCAGATGGCAGACTTAAATTGATGTCCGCCTTGATGCACGGCAAGCTGAAGATCAAGGGGAACCAGATGTTGGCGCTTAAACTGGACGGACCGATCCTGCAAGCGATCCGACAGCAAAAATGAAGGTTCTTACGCTCGGTCACAGAGGGGGGTGCCCGTGCCGCCTAGTTCCGCCCGCGGACGGGCCCCTTCCACCCTTCATTCTCTTTTGTGCTCTGCTGTGCTCTGCTCTGCTTTGCTGTGTTGCGCTGTGCTCCACAGACGCTGTCGTGGGATCGCTTGTCATGACACATTCTAACGTCGAGTTCTTGTTTGGAGCTCTTGGAGTTTGTATCCACTTCTCGCGGCGTCGCCGCCCACGCGGCGCCGTCCACGCGAGGAGAGCATCGTGGGCCGCGCATCGTGAGCCGCGGCCGGCCACCATGCTTGCGATTCTCGCCCTCGCGGGCGTCGCAGTGCCAGGCCCGCGCACGGCACACCTCGGTGTCGGGCTGCGGCAAGAGAGCCCTGACGCTTGGGGATTCGCGACCCCCCGCGAATTCTTTTTCTTGAAAAACCGCCGCGCCGCCCGCACGCGCCCGCATCCGCCACAACCGATCCCTCGCCAGACACGCCGCCGCCCGCCCGCCTCCTCGACCTCCCCACGGACCTCCTCGTGCGCGTCGTCTCTCGCTGCGACCCCGTCGACATCGCTCTCGTCGCGGCCGTCTCGCTGCTCTTTCACTCATCGCTCGCGGAGCAGGGCATCCGCTTGCGGGCGCGAGATCGCGGCTTCGAGCTGCCGGCGCAGCCAGAGGGCGAGGGCTGCGCCGTGCGGTGGCTGTGCTATTCGGCGTTGCTGCGCGAGTCCAACCCGCCGGTGAGGGTGGCGGGAGGCAAACGGCACAGCCTCTTCATCGACATTGAAAAATCGGGGACCGTCCGTTCATAACGAGGTCCGACCTGCTTTGCTCGACTCTCTTTGGTGCGTCGATCGACGAAGGCGGTTTTTGACGCGCTCGATGTCAGTGACATCGAAATGTGCAAAAGCTATCATCGAATGTACACGAACGGCTTTATGACCTGGAGGATTGCTCAGACCAGTGCTACAAGGTTTCCGAAGACCACAGAGATGCATGTCACCATATCTCTGACGATTCATTTTGCAGCGGATGGATACATGGACACCCACGAGACGGGCCAAATGAGTCATGATAGATGCGAATATCAGTGCGGATTGGCTGGCAGACCTGGAGATTGTTGCGTCAGTGTCGAAGGCGAGGCCGAAGTCGAATGCGCTGTCGCTTCGATGGGTTTAGCACAGCATTTTGCACAAAACGCTGCAGCACAGGGCGCTCAAGACTTCGGAAAGTTCAATGAATGCATGTACCTTAAAAAGGCCGACCATTGCACTGGGCCTGAGGGAAAAGAACATGGGTGCACATGGACAACTGTCGACAATATGCCAAATGATTCGCAAACCGCCCTCTTGGGCGCAGTTCGTGGATATTTCGGCGCTGATGCAATTCCTATCCCCGCATATGCCGGCAGGGTGCTGGAATCCGAGCCCACCACCGCTACCGCGGTTTAGGTTTAAGGGAATCCCGAATGTCTGCCCCGAATCTGTCAGCCGGTTTTTGCACCAGCGTCCAGTTTCAGTTCGATTGGGTGATCCATGTGCCCGTACCTTGTTTTATTTGATAATATGATACCGTATCCGACAGAGGCCCCGAAAAGTGTTGGGGGGGGGGGGGGGGCAGATTGTTGAGGAAATTACGTAAAATGTGCTATAATCAAATTATGATCATGAATGGGAGAGTCGGGATCAATGTTGCACCGTTTTTGACGAGCTTGAGATCAATTTGTTTTGCGACCGCTCCCGACCCCTATCACAGCTCAGAGCTCACGAGCTCAGCTCTGCCTCTGGGGAGGTGCTGCAACTTGGAACACAGCGCGGGGGTATCCAGATGATTGTTGATTGCTAGAGGTAAGGTAAGGTAAGGTAAACTTCTTGCAGTCACACACGAGGTGGTGGGGCAAGGGGGGGCAACCCAACCCTCGCGTCTCCACGTCTAACGACAGGAGCCCCACGGCATTCAAAGCGTGCAAGGCCCGGTGCGCGTGGGT